CCAGACATTTGACCGAGTTGGAATACACTTGCCACATCCAGTTTTCACCCACGGGCAACTTTATGTGGCTTTATCAAGATGCACATCACTAGCAGGATTAGGTATTAAAGTACAAAACACATCACTCCAAGGACAGTTATTCTTTTTGAGTCCTTCTACTTTCACTATCAGCATAGTTTATAAAGAGGTTTTATACTAGATGCTCCATATATTGTTTATAGCACTGAAAGAAATTCTTGATATATAAATACAAGCTTTTCAAAGCTATTTTATTTATTTATTAGACTTAACATTTAAAACACTATTTTGCTAATAGAACAGCATATGCTAGGCAAGTGCTAGTTTACATATAAGAGTGAATGGTTCAAATTGAAACCAATCCAAAATCCTATTATATTAATATTTGTATATAACATCATAACCATATACTTGGACCTTACATTATCCCCTTCTCTTGGAATGATGGAAAATAGTCAAAATTCTCTTATAGACAAGATCTAAAGGAACATTAGAAGGTGGCATCGATAGATCTATAAGTGGTGTCAATTGTTCTTAATCTTTTTGTATGAAGTGTTTCAGCCATTGTATATGCATAATTTCTAGAGGATCAGCTTGTTAAATGTCATACCAAATTTTATAAACTTGCAATCTAACTTGCCGCAACATGTGATATAGTCCCTTCCATTGAACAAGGAGCCTTTTAGACAAATTATATACCATAAAATTGGGAAAATAGACTAACACTAAATCATCCACTTTATACTCCGAAGGTGGATGATGATGAGAGTTGTAGCATCGTTGTCATCCCACTTGTATGCAACTTAGATATTCAATAGACTTTACTCGGATAAGTGGAAGAATGCTTGTTAAATATTAATCCCAAGATATAGCATCAGTAGATTATAGCAATCACGAAGGTAAACTCAACTCTGTTAGTAGTATTGGCTCATAGCTATATAAGAGTTTATATGGTGAAGCATCAACAAAACTTTGTACCCTTGTAACATATGCATACTGAAGAGATGGCAAATAACATTTCAATCCAAATGCTGAAAGTGTAAGCAACCAAAAGGAATGATTTAAGAGACGATCCATGGAGTTCAAATATAAAGGGAAAAGGTCCATAAACAAAAATACACCTTTTTTTTCCAATCGGTTAAAGGTTTTGGGATATTTGAAGTTAAGTGTTCTTAGGTTTGAATAATATTAAGCTGGGTGACCTTCCAAGAAGTCCAAACTTAAGAGCTTACAGAAAGTTTATATACTTTGTGATCATCCCTTTGAAGATCTGAATAAACCATTCAGCTAAACCATTTGATTGTGGATGATAAACACTTGTAAAAATGTAACATATCCCCAACCGAGATATGAAAATATAAAATGCCTTAGCCATAAATATGGGACCATTGTCCGAAAGAATTCACTTCGAACAGAAATGCTGAAACACCACTTAATTGAGAAGGAAGTAGCTAATAGTAGTGATAGATGCACTAGTAAGAGCACAAATTTCCACCTATCAAGTCAAATAATCAAAAGTAATAATGACATACTCATTGTCAATAGTCAATTGTGGAAAAATGCCCAACTCAAACAACCAAGAAACTAAATTTGACTTTACCGTCCTTCTGTAGCATGAGGGGAGTATTACAAGTTTGGCACTACATATAGTTACATACATACTAGATAACGTCATGTTGCATCTTTAGTGAATAAAAAAACCTATATAACTTCTTGGTCACACAATAATGTCCTATATACCCACCTAAAATAAGAGAATCATGGTAGGCATATAAAAAGCATGGAATAAAAATTGAAGTCACTACCAGATATAAATGATCATTATGATCTGTCCCTACAAATAAAGAAGACTGTCCTTAAGGTGATATTGAGAATGTAAATGCTGAAATGGCAAGTCATTAGCAAATGATGTAGGATTCTCAAACCTATCACGAACTCTAACTCAATTTTTTTAGCCTCGTGAACCTCATCAAGAGAAAGTAAATCTTGTTTTGCACTTTATGGACACCAAACGTTAAATACAGCAACCGCTAATGGTATGGAATCCTTATCCAAAAAATCCATAGATGTGAGAACAACAAACTCATTAAAAACATGAGAAAGAGTGAAGAATGAAAAAGAACTTGAGAAAGGGCATTAGTATTAACCATAGAATTCCCTAAGTGATGAACAACATCAAAATCATATATTTGAAACTTCATAACCCACCGAACAATATGACCAACCAAGTTCTTCCACTTCAATAATGAAGTAAATGCAGCATGATTATTTTTTAAAAACATCTGAGAATTATGTAAATATGCATGAAATTTCTTGAAACCCCAAACTATTGCTAAATACTCCTTCTCTATCATGGAGTAGTTCACCTCCGTTGATTGTAATGTATGGCTGATATATGCAATAGGATAGCGCTAATTAGGCACACTCGGATTTTCTTGCATCAACACATCTTCAAGACCAATATCAAAAACATTGACACTAAAAATGAAAGGTCAAGTGTAATCAGGATATACCAAAATTGGAGGAGTCATCAAATAACTCTTTGAAATCCGTAAACATTTACTCACAGTCCGTAGACAAAATGAAAGATGACATTGATAACTTTAGTAATGCTTGTAATAATGCAATGCAATTAAAAAGATGATCAACAAAATAACTAAGATATTACATGTTGCCTATGAAGTATTGTACATTATTCATAGACTTTGGAGTTTTAGAAATAAACTTTAAATCACAAAATCATAGTTCCCAATTAATATCCATTTTTATTGATCTTTGAGATGTTGGAATGGCTCTCCAAGACCTAGTTGTTTAATAAGATTAACTTGCTTGGCATTTATAAATTCACCCATATTCAGAAAGGTGATGAGTGAAAAGCACTTTTTCATATTTGTTATAGCCAATTTAAATATATTGTGATGCCTTTTGGTTTGACTAATGCTCTTGTAGTTTTCCAAAATATGACAAATGACATCTTTTATGATTTTATTAATCTCTTTATTATCATCTATCTTGATGATATTTTTATCTTATCTGAAACTCAAGAAAAATATAATTAATATATTCACCTTTGTAACACATGTGATTATGGGATGAGATTTGGATATACTGTCACCATGAATCCTCATTATCACCTTTTAATTTTCCAGAGGGAAGGATAGTGTAGGGTCTTTCAATATATATATGTATATGGCACTAAGTTTTTGTAGTATAGTATTTAACGCTCATAACAAGAAATATTAGTAAATTAATTAAATTATATATACTAAAGTTGAAATGAAAGTCTTTAGTGAACTATCTTAAATATGTAAACTATATTTTTCATAATTTATTTTAAAATATTTCTTTATCATTAGTTATTATTAATTTAAACTTGTTAAATTAATGAAATATTTATCATTTTATACAATTAGGATGATTTTGTGTTCTTGTAGACCACCAAATATGATTTGGTGATTTTAGTGAATAAACTATAAGATTACAATCATTTTGTATTGTCATGAATGTAAGAAATAAACAGTAAGGTTGATTAATGCAATATTTATCAATAAATTACTTTTTTTAATTTTGTCTTTAATACAAGATTACCATCTTTTTGTAAGGTAAGTTCACAAAATCCAATATATGTTTCTATAACTCTAGACATCCACACAAGTTTTCTACCAGAATATAATACAAGTTTACAGTTTGTTGATATAAAAAGAATATTTTTCCCATTTTGAGATATTAAATATTCATAAGTTCTTAAGTTATGCTTATAAAAACCTGAAAATAATGTACTTTCTATAGTATCACAAGTTTTACGATCTTTATAAGAAATGGTATGCAAAGATTTTAAACTGTAAATATCATCAGTAATATTCCACCAATAATATATAGCATATGCAATTCTATAGTTTAAATATTTAATATCACACATATTAGAGCGTGCTTTTAGCATTGCATCAGTATAAATTTTTCTTAATGTCCGAAATCTACTTCTAAGTGCACGACCATTAACTGTATATTCAAATTTATCCTTACCAATTAAACAATTTGGAGGATTTGCTTCCATACACTTTATCATTAAAAGAGCAGCTCCTCTACCAAAATTAACAGACATCCAATTGTCATAAGTAGAAGAATAATCAGGAAATGAATTATTAATTTGTGCTTCAAGTACTCTAAATCCATGTTCAATAATTATAGCAACTTCATCTTGAATTAATGTGTAATTATCTCCCCAAACTATTGCACTTGAAACCATATCTACAAAAAAATAGGATTATAAATGCTAAAAATAACATATTTTAGATTTCTAAATAAAATCATTTTATAGTGGTTTTAATTATTTCCTTTTATCTAGTAGATTAGTATAGTATCGCTCTGTTTAAAGTTGTGTATACATTTGTAGACACATTGTATGTACTATGTTAAATTTAATATTGACTATTTTTTATGCAAGCAACATTACCCAGGTCATGCATGACACACAGATCTATATCTCAAGATACCTGATCATGCCAAGTACTGCCCATCAGACTCTACTGCGAATATTCCCTTACCTTTTGACCTTTACTAAAGAAAAAAAGGTGTAATAGTCTCCACCTTAATAGCCAGAAAGCTTCTTGATAAACGCACAATTGAAAGGTACTCAAAAGCGAAAACAATTGATTGCTTCAGATTTGAGTTGGCTACAGGTGTTTTGCAAGACTGGTCTATTCAGCTGCAGTGCCAAGTGAAAAATTTCACTGTACTCCTCTCGCATGTTGCAAGATTACCAAGACAACTCACCAGGAATTCAACTTCCAATGCTTTTGCAGCAAATTCTTCGTGTAGTCTGGTCACTTGTAAACCATGAGAAGCCATTGTAAACCATGAGAAGCCATGCAGTCTTAAAACTCCTAGCTGCACAAACTCACTGCCACTGGGTCCAAGCATGGCTGCGTTCCACACGTACCTGACCCGGTTCACTTTTGCCAGGGAGCTCGATGAACTTGGAATACTGAATCTGAGAGTTCGAACCCATAATTATTTCTCCTCTTTCCTTTAGTCCTTGAAAGATTTCCTTAGCTTTGTCACAGCTTCGCTCACAAACTCGAGCCACAGTTTCAGTCGATCCATTACTCCTGCTGCTATTGCATCGCTCTTCTTTTTCGGAGAGACCAGACCACCTTCCCATCCATTCTCGAGCATTCGCTTCCCCAGAGAGCTTTGGTAATGCTTGTCGTCTGCTCCATCCGTAAGAGACCTCCCTCTAAAGTTTGTGGAGCCTGGATTCTCGATCAAGACTTGGTTGTGGTTGCTTGTCGATGCGTTCTCTGTCGATCTGTTTGTGTGTCCTTGTGGATCAGCAAACTGGAGCTTGTTCGCTATCCTTGCATCACCGAACACCTCTTCGCAAACTCCCCTCGCGAACTTAATCCCGTCTCGTCTAGACGCAGCGAGACAAGCCATCATGGCCTTCTCCTCGCAAGCTTCTCGGTCTTCCGTGCTGGTATTAAAATTTGGGACGAACGCTTTCCACCAGGGGGAGCGGCAAGCCTTTGAGGCAGTGATCGAACAACCCTTCATAGTAGCAGCCTAGGAAAAACGAAGTGAGTAGGTGCTCCCATTCAATTTCTAAGGCTTACGTACCTCGCACTGTGAAGTAATTTGTTTCTCGCAGTTCTGCCATGCACGGCTCCAGCTTGCCTCGTCCTTGAATGCCAAAACGAATGGACCTTTCGAAGGATCATCATCACTTCCGGCAGGAACTGGTACTCGTAACACTGGAAGGACCGGCTCAAATGCAATCGTTATTGCCGAGGGCGATAAGTCTGTGCTGTGTGCACTCGCCAGATCTTCCTTGGCTGCAAACAGTTTTTCATCAGGACAAGAGAAATAAAAGAAAGAAGCATAAAAATGCTGCTCCTTCAACCTGGTAAATCCGGAGGATAGGCCATTGAAAACCTGCATATACTCACGCCTCAGAATCTATCAAGAACTTTCTGGAAGTTACGTGCGACGAAGACGAAGCTCCGCCAGGAACACGCCTTCGACCTAAGCAGCAAGTGAATTAAGGAAAACCCTACCTTTGAGGTGATTCAGCCACCAGAATTTTATTTCTCTGTGAGTCAAAAGTACAAACTTTTAAACAACCTGTCAAGAAAGAAAGAGAAGCGTTAGCTAAGCCGCAGAGGAAAAAAAAAAAGAAGAAGAAGAAAACTTTTGAGAGCTCACCTCCTAGTAATTACACTGCGTCTTTCTGATGTCCAAGCCGTTTTCTATCACCGTGATCCAGTCGAATTTGCCCATTTCTTGATCAAACGAGTGTTTCCTGTCGAAACAGATTCGCTATCTCTACTCGCAATGGACGACGTATCGTCTTCCGAGAATCTAAATCTGCAAAGCGAGCACGAAGGCTGCGAAGTCCTCTGCCCAGCTTCTTGTGTGTCTTTCAAGCCTTTGAACACTTCAAGAGTCTCCAATTTCCCGGGAGTATAAGCCGGAAGTGAAGCCGAGCCACGGTCTGCAAGAAAGAGCATCTCCCTCCGGACTCCATCGCTGCCCCCTTCACTGACTTCGTTGTGTTGCATCGAACTAGCCGCAGCAAAAGCACTGTTTCCCTGGTTCCCGTCCGTCGAGAAAAACTTGAGTGGCTGAAAGAGCTTCCTGTGCGATAGATGCGCCGGACGAACACACTGGAACGGTGCCAAGATCTGTCCATCCCGGCCAACCTCGACCAAAGTCTCCGGAGACAAACTTGATGGTGGAGACGCCGGCAGCGACGGGCTGTCAAGCTTCACGAAGTGCGAAACCAGTAAATTATAGGGAACATTGACGAGTGTCTGCGCAGCTCCAACCCAAACTATGACTCCATTCCTGGACGAGCGACGAACTTGTCCCAGCAGCCATTTGGTATGGTTGCATCTAACCAGCACGAACTCCCCAACGTAGAAGTGTAGCCTCTTCCTTCCCACCACCTCAACAACACCAGCGGCATCATCCTGGGAGCTGATAGCCGGGACGAGAGAAGCCGCGGACTGGGAAGACCAATCCTCGAAGCTCTTGACGTCTCTGCTAGACGAGGAGACATACTCGGGACTCGTTGGAAATCCATGCATGCTTCGTGGGGACGAAGACGATGCATTTCCTGGCGAGAGCTTCGAGTCTGGAATCTCCAGCCTCGGCTTTTCGACGTGCTGCCTCGAGCGCTGCTGCTCCATCCCTTGCTAACCTCTAGGTAACGCTGCGGTGTAGGCAAAGATAGTTGGTTCCTTCTCTCGGCCACCGTTCTGGGCGTTCTGGGACGTTATAAAAACTGAAAGACGGAACAAACGGACCTTTCTCGTTGGATAACACATGAACACGGTACCGCATTCCTGCCAGAGAGCAAAAACACGAAAACCTTGCTTAGAATCCACAGCCAGAGCAGCTCAAAACGGAATATTTCGACCAAGAAAGGGATCGATCCGCAACAAAAGAGCAAAAGGACGCAGGAAATCCATCCAGAAGCTAGAGGCTCTACGAAATCCACCGGCAAGAGCTGGATCGACGCGAGAATGCAATGCAGGCAGCCACAATCTATGGAGCGGAAAGAAAAGCACGCGATCCGTCGCTTACCTGTCGCGAGGCGCCCGAGCTCCAGCGAAGGCGCTTCCTCTTCCATGGCTCCCCTGTGCCATGGAAGCCCTAATCCAAATAAACGGGCCATAGTAACTAACTACATCTAGAAAATAGAGCTTTTCGATTAAAACTCAAGCATCTATTAGAGTTTCCCTGTGAAGAAATAATCCTGTGGAGCCATAGTTCTTGTCTAGCAACCATCTATTACACGCAAAGAATCCTTCGTAATCGTCCATTCTAGAGTACCTTCCTCGTTTTCTTTTTCTTAGTTGCAAGCGAACGGAAAATCGCTAGTGGTGAAGACTGGGATGTTGTCTCGATTGTTCTTATCGTAATGCTTCTTGCTTTGGTACTCGAATGCCGCCGCTTTGGACGAGCGATTGTTCATGAGAACGGACTCGAAGTCACTCTGCTTGAGCTTTCTTGCAACCTGAAGAGAGATTGATCGATCGTCAAAACAAAGCAAAGATCCCTTACCTTTCCAGATGACAACCCGTGCTTTTCCTGCTCGAGGAGATCCCGGATAGGAAGATAGGCAGCCTGCTTGCAAAGCTCGGTCAAGTCGGATCCACTGCAGCCGTCACACAAGCTCGCCAAGTAGTCGATGTCGAGGTCGTCCTCCACTCGCTCTTCCTTGAGCAAAACTTGGAGAATGCTCGCTCGCTGCTTCACGTCCGGCATACCAATCTCGAAAGCTCGAGGGAGACGGCGGAGGATGGCTTCGTCCAGCTCCCATGGCCTATTCGTGGCAGCCAAGACAAGCACCCTTGCATTCTCTGGATTAAGCTCGTTGTCAGCCAAAAGCCCAAACATCGAGAAAAAAGGATTTTGAAGTGGAACTTACGATCAGTGGTCAAGCCATCCCATAGAGCCATAAACTCAGTCTTCATTTGAGTCATGACTTCGTGACTGGTAACTCCTCGACGTCCCAAGAAGCTGTCCACTTCATCGATGAAGATGATAGAAGGCTGGAGCTTGTGAGCCAAGGTAAATACAGCAGTCACTGTACGAAGAAAAGAAATTCGATCAGCTACCAATGAAAGAGCAAAACATACCGAGCTTCTGTGCATCGCCCAACCATTTGCTCATCAGACTCGCGATCTGGACGTTTATAAACACCGCTCGCGCCTCCTTGGCGAGTGCTTTCGCAAGAAGAGTCTTCCCAGTTCCCGGTGGTCCATAAAGCAGCACTCCTTTCTGGGGTCTCAGCAGCTTTCCCTGCGAGAAGAGCTCCGGGCGCTGCAGAGGAAGAATCGCGAGCTCATACAAAGAGTCTTTCACATCTTCCAATCCACCGATGGACGAAAAAGTCACGTCAATCCCCTGCGGATTCACGACGTTCCCAGCAATAATATCCTGTTTCAGAAAGAAGAACAAATGCGTCAGTCAACCAGCTCAAAGAAAAAAAAAAGCCCAAACACAAAGTAACGCACCTCGTACATGTTGGTTTGCTTGAGATCACGTCCCAAGCGCTTGGACAGCTCCTTCTTACAGGCGGTGGCCTTCTTCGTGTCGATCCTGTGTGGATCCATGTACCGCAGGCCTATAAGCTGGACCAAGCAGCTCACCGCGGCATAGACAGCGTAAAGAAAAACTTGCTCCAAGAAAGTCCCGGACCGCCCCTTTCCAACACCCGAGACGCTCCTCCGCAAGAACCTCGTGAGCCGGTTCCAAGGGTCCTGGGGGAGCTCGTTCTCCTCGCCCAAGTAGCCCTCAAAAGCATCGCTCCAGAAAGCTCGGGCTTGGCCCAATTCTCGCCGCTTCTTGACCGCCACGCTCAAGCTCAGCCCGTGAATGGGGGCGCGCTGGATCGATGCCGACAGCGCCAGCGGCCGGCGTGGATTCCTTGTCACATAAACCCTGCTAAAACCTCTCGGCTCCGCGAAATTCTGATCGATGCGCCGGGGAAAGAGATCTGTGGAGGATTGCTTACTCGAGAGGTAGGCGCCGCCGGCAATGAAGAGGAGGGCGTGGTTGGGAGTCGCGACGCCTGCCATGGACGGGGAGAGAAAGATCGCCGCGCCGCCGCCGCCCCGCAAAGCCCCAACTCGATCGTTCCTTCTCGATCGCAACAATGGCGGTTATGAGATTAGGGTTTGGTTAAATGAGAGAAAGAAAGAAAGCTCCTGAATGGAAGCCTCCTTTTGCGTGGGATATTTAGTGGAAATATTCTAGGGTTTGTGGGCGCTGCGCCAGCGATCGCTATGGACAGAGCTTTCGACAGTGTCGACGATTCCACCCGATCGCTGGTCTCGGTGAGCGATTCTTTCTATTCTTCGTCTGGCGGGGGGAATGAGGAGGCGATTGGCAGGATATGCAATCGAATCTAGTGTTGATTAAGCTCATCGCCGAGGATGTGGAGCGTGCAGCGCGTGGCTGCGATGAGGTTTGGTTTTTTCTGCCAAGAGTTTCTATGAATCTCACTCTCTTCTCTTGTTTTTTTCCTTCAAGGTGAAAAAACTGGATGAGGCAGTTCTTGAGCTCTTGACCGCTACGGATGAGCTTGAGCGCCACCGAAAGGCAATGCAGGCTCTCAAAGCGAGCTATCAGTTTACAGCAAATCAGGTAGGATACTACTCTCTCAACTACTAAAAAGAGAGTTTTGTCATAGCCTACAGATTTTAGCAAATCATGCAAGGCTGAGATGCAAAACTTTCCAGCTACGAATCCAAAGGACCACCCGATTTACAAGCAATTCGAGGAAGCCATTTGGGTATAAAATTTCTTTATTCTTTACAGAAAAAACGTCTTTATATCTCATCAGAACGTTCACAACTCGGGTGTTCCAATGCCTGGACAAGAGCAAGCGGAGATTCTGTGCACCACTCAAGCCGGGATCTTGAACCGGACATGCCCGATCTCTGGAAAACACGTCACGGAGCTTGAGAATCCGGTTCGATGGTATGCAAGAAATAACATCTCACACCTTTTTTATTCATGTTTTCTGCTTCGCAGCTCCGAGTGCCGGCATATATATGATCTTCCTGCTGCCAGAGGCTACATCGGCAGCCGGTTGCAGAGCAAGCGCTGTGCCGTTGCAGGTTTGCTTCTTCCGAATCTCTTGAAGACAACTGTGTGTCGTTCCAGGATGTCCGAAGAACATTTCGCTCCAAAATCTTGTCCGGGATGCAACGCTGGACATGGAAATCGCGGAGCTGAGGATGAGAGGCGATGGTGGTGAGACTCACACTCACACCGTGGTTGAGGAGCTGGATGATATACTGGACGTGGAAATAGAGTGATAAAAAAACGTTTCTTAGCTTCAAAAGCTGTAGGGCAAAACATTAAATCCATTTTAGAATTTGCTAGTTGCGCATTTGTCTTGAAGAATCAAAAGTGATTAAGTTAAAGAAGCTCAAGAAACTTGAGTTTGGTTAAATTAATTATAAAACATTGAACTTACTCAAATAAATCTCAATTTATATTGATTCAAAAATTAGTATAGTATGGATTTATCTGATACAATCTTGATGAGTATGAGTATTTGTAGCCCACCAAACTTGTTTTAATGGCCTAAATAAATAAACTACAAGATTACAATCATTTTGAACTGTAATAAATGTAATAATTTTACAATTACAATATTTATTTATGGACCACATTTTTGTTTCTTTATTTGTTTTTAATAAAACATTACCATTTCCTTGTAAGACAAGTCTGCATAATCCCCAGTAAAAAAATTTATTATCAGAAATCCATAAGAGTTTTTTTCCAGAATATAATCCAATTGTACAATTTGATAATATATATAGTATATTCTTACCATTTGGTGATATTAAAAATTCATTAGTTAGTAAATGATACTTAGGAAATCTAGCATATAATGTGCTTTTAGAGTTATCACAATTTATATAATCTACAGAATTTGGGAAAGTTATTGGTAAAGGTTTCATAGAAGAGCTATAATTCCACCATTTTTCAACAATATATCTAAGTCTATAATTTTTATTTGTAATATCACACATGCTAGAGCATGCATTTATCATTTCTAATTTATAGTTATTCTTTAAAAAATTAATACCAGTTCTAATTGCAGTACCTGTAATTTCAGTATTTAAAACATTACCCACTATACAATTTGGAGGATTTCCATCTAAGCGCTCAAACAATATTAAAGCAGCTCCACGGCCAAAATCTACCGATTCCCAATCATCATAATTAGATAGATAATCACGGCGAGATTTATTAACTCGAGATTCAATGGTTTGAATTCCATCAATAATAGTGAGAACTTCATGTTGAAGTAATGTATAATTAATTCCCCAATTTACCTTTGGAACAAAACCCATATCTAAAAATATTATTGTACTTATTAAAAAGTAAAACATTACTTATAATAAATAGCTTAAACTTCTGTAATTTTTTAAATCTTATTAAAATAGAAATTCGAAATTTATAGTAAATTTAATATAAGTATAATAGTTTAATATTAAATTAATATTATACAACCCACTTCATAGTGTGTCCCCCATTGTAGCATAAATAGCTTATAGATGAAGTTATGTTAGACAAGTGGAAAAATACTTATCAATACTACAAACTCAATTGAATAAATATAACCAACAAGGACGAAAACATTAGTGTATGAAGAATGAAGAGTGATAAAGTTATTATAAGCAAACTCAGCAAAAGAAAATAAATTCAACCTAATCATACTATTGATGGAAAATAAAGCATCAAAAATATTGCTCAAAAGTTTGAATAGTACATTTCAATGGCCCATCAATATAAAAATGGATAGAAGTTAATAGTGTATTTTGAAGGGTCCAAATGTATAGTAAGGATAATGGATAGATTAGGTGTGGCTAAGAAATCTAAGATATTGTTTAGGTATGACTTATAATGCTAAATTTTGTTTGGCTTCATTTTGCATGTTGGACTTTGTGTTAAAGAATACTAGATAATCTAGAATTATTTTAATGTTGCTTCCTACTCCTATTCCTTCATTCTTTGGTTGTACACTTAGGAATTGCTCCATGCTCTTGTTCTTTAGCTTCTTAGTTGCATGTTCAAGAGTTTGGCACTATGCTTTTTGTTTATAGTTTTATGCTTTGAAACTT